ACAAACAATATAATTCTCAGACTTCACTTTCACTTGGTAACTTTCCTTACACCAGCCACGTTGAAGAGAATACAGTATATCCAAAAAAATCAATTTCCTCTTCTAGGTTCACCAATACTTGATCTCTGTACAACTTCCTACCCTGTACAACAGACGCGTTACTTCTCACATGGAATAATGTTCTCATGTGTGGTGTGACGCTGCACAGTATAACTTAACTGTAATACAAAATATAATTTAAAAGTTATTCTCCAGATGAATGATAAGTCCCTAATTTCTACTATTACTCCCCTTCCCCCTCGATTTCAGTGCAATATATATCTTCACTTTACGTTACTCTCATCTTTTTAAGCTTGCCCAGTCATTCCCTATCGTGTCTCCCATGCTTCACTCCTCACACTACTCTACTAGGATACCAATGTTCCTTTCTTCTTACGAGTACACCTCCCCATTAACCAACAACCTACAGCTCTTTTAAAAGTGAGGAATGTACCTACCACTGACACACCAAAAATACATTTTCAATTTCCTTATCTATCATGTATTAGGTAAGACTAATTTAAATATGAGTCACTTTGTCAGGTTAGTGGCAGAGGTGGCGCCTACAGAAGGTGTCCCACCATCTCGGGTAATAATCATTTGTCTAAGTTGAATGAATATCACCAGGTTGGTTTCAGATGTCCAGTGTCCAGGAGTATTTAGATAAGTCAGCCAGTTTGTTTGTTGTCTTAAAATCAAACTTCTTTATTTCTAAAAGGAAGTTGATGTAAGATACAAAGACTTGAGTTTGGAGCTTAACAACCCTGGCAACTCAAGTACCTTAATCCAGCACTACAATAACAGGTGTGCTGGGTAGTTCATATGAAATAACCAGAACTAAGAACAAAACATGACGTCACACTAACACCTTTGCGTCATTTTCTTACAGGATAACGAAAACGTGACAATAGGTCTTAAACGTCTCTTGTGGCAACACCTCCATACCTGAAGCCCCAACATATATTTTTACCTGACTATTCATCACAGGTTAAAGTAATGTATGTTTCATGTTTGACTATTGTAGTTCCTTGCAGATAAACTCATCGTCAAGAATTGGTACTCTGATTTTATTACATTTTAGAAGTAAACATCTAAGGGCAAAAAATATGCCATCATGCAGAATATTATCGTACAAATAATAACAATGACAAAGCTCCTATTAGTAGTACCAGTAATAGTAGTAGTAGTCCAGTATTAACAGTAAAAATTAAATTACTACTGCTACTATTACTAATACTATAATAATAATAATATGCTATATACAGTACAGTAGTAACAATCTTTGCCATGTACTTTAATGAAAGAAACTGGTGGTATTCAGTTTAGCTACAGTTATTGACAATGCTTAAATATTTTGCAATTAAAATCGTTTCACCCAAACTTCGTTACGAAAGGACTTCACAACTCCATACGAGTTTTAGGCAACGATGCGGTCACAATAAAGTTACTCTTCAAACTAACATGCGTTGGCCTTGTAGAGTGCCTAAGGCGGACGCTGCCCCTCCTAACCTTATACCCGCTCGCTCTCTCCCTCCCTCCCGCTGTCCGACTGATAATTATGTAATCCGATCTGCCTCACCCATTCCAATTATCTCCTGGTCGTTTATCAAACCAAACTGTCCTTGAGCTAAATTGATAAAACAATTTTCATTGTTTTAGGTGCTGAGTAAGCCAGTGGAGTACATCACTAAGAACGAGCCAATATCTTTTAACCTTACCAAGGAGTAATAAGTCCTCCGCCATTGGCGGCTCTCTCCTAATGTTTCGAACCAATCACAGACACCGTAGCTAGTCGCTGACCCAAATCTTCAGCATCAACATGGCAAGACGAACAGGGATTGGCTGACGGGGCCGCCCCGTCCCACAGCACGTGGTCCCTCCGTGGGGTTGGTCTCGGCACCACGTGGACGGACCGAGGATTACATGTGAGTGTTAGTCCAGTCCACTGAACCCCTGAGATGGTTGCCACCGTGTACAGTGGCGCGCAACAGACCCACAAGCTTTACTTGTCGTAAACTATCATTAATCTGAAATATGTTTACTTTAACCCAATGAGATCTCCTGAACTAGTTTCGGCTCGAATCATAAGATCAGCTTCTTTGATAGTTAATAATGACAACATAGGAGTCTTATCTCACTTTTGTCAGGCCTAATATACAGTACTGTACTGTCACTCGCCATATCTTACAGTCGTGGCCGCCGAGAGGGCGGCGAAGCCATGATAAATCCCCGGGGGCCGGGCTGCGAAGGGGCCCTGGCCAGCTCTCGGCGACCTTGCTTAAAGTATACCAGATCTTTCTGTTATTTCATCGGTAAACTTGTCATATTCCATACAATAAACTGGTCATTATTTATATCTTAGTCTGGCTGATTTATCCCGTCTTTTATCTGTCTACGTAATTCTTCCCACTTCACTACAAGTTCACCTATGAACTTCTCTTATCGTTCTTGGATGATAAAAAATCCTACTGTTAGGTTGACAATGATAACAATCACGAACATTTCATATTTAAGTCCTCGTTTTATAGCATGGTCTTACGAGACACTACAGTGATATGAACTGTAAAATAAACTGACAACCCTCAGTGTCAAGACCTGACTGAATTACTCAGAATAGGCAAACTGTACTCCAAGGTTTGTCAATTAATTAAACTTAAAAAAACGTGTTGACTCAAAAATGCGAAAATGTGGCCAAAATGATATATGAAGTTTTTTGTCGACTTTTTAGCGCTGTTTTGTTTCTGTCGCTATCATTTTTACAACAGATGCAAACATGAGAACTTAAAGAAGGATCCCAGACTCTGTCGTCTGTTTTACACTGGATTTTAGAAACCAAATAATCACCGTAAGCACCCCCCCCCCCTTGTGTGTTCTCTAGTCGTCCGGCAACATCATACTTCCGTTCATTATCTACAAAAACGATTGTCGTCATGTTGGAGCAGATGCCTTGCCTCAGGGTCCCTCACATGTTATCAACACATGGTCACAGTTCGACAATTTTATGGTTTTCTTGGCGATGAGCATCAAGAAGCAGACTCCACATTCTTATTATTATTTAACATTCCGCCCATAAATTGTGTAAGCCAAAGAAAGTAAGCATGAACGCCGGATCCTTACAGCGGGTGTTCAACGCGCTGTGGTGAATCTGAGACAAGAGTAACCCACAACCGGACTCGTATATCGCTTTTTCAGAACGTTGCCTTAAATGTCATACTCCGCGCTGCTAAACTCTAACATTTCTTCAACGTCACTCTAAATTTCATTTAAATTCGTCAACATAGATTTCTACATCACACTTATTTTAATTCCTATTTTTCTTAAGTACAGCAGTTAAGAAGATTGCATGCCGCTTTGAGGATTTCCAAATAGATGAGTGACGATTTAACGGAACTTAATCGTCCAAGCGAACTGGCAAAAATAGCCATGCTGGGAATTATTCATCAACTTGTGTTTCACGAGGTGAATTGGAATTATGCTTCTAGCAATTTGCCTACAATTGATATTAAACTGATTAGGCGGTAAGAGGAGAGTGAAATATCTCCCTTCTTGAAAATCGGTATCACGTTCGCTATTCTCCAGGATTCTGGGATACTACACCCGTTTTTAATGACATGTTAAACAAGTTTGCTGAGGGCATATTAAGCTCTTCCTTACATTCCTTTAATACTCTGGCAAATATCTCATCGGGACTTGGCGACTTATTAGGTTTTAATTTATCCATTTGTTTACAAACATCGTTACTAACTCCCTTAATCTATACATACTTCACTTGCTGTAATGGTTCAAGTTTTAAGGATATGGGAAGTATTTCACTGAATGGGACATTTTCTCCAAAAGTCATTGTATTGCATTAATTAAAGGGTATCAGTAACTCAGCTGAGGACAATATCTCTGGAACAAGTTACGGAAAACATATTTGTTCTTCGTGTGGTAATTAATAGATAACCTATAACATAACTTTTCTTTGCTTGTGGGATGTTAGTGATATAAAAAAATAACAAGGAAATTTCCTATATCTTATTATAAGTCTGCTTTTTATATATTTCCAACTTAAGGATAAGTTTTGTTTAGCAAATTTGTAACAATAAACAATTAATATTGCTGGAGATTTTTTGTGTACTGAAATTATTTTACTTATAACTGATTGAGACATGAAGATTCAGATTCGTATTTGCCCCGCGAGGAGGCTAGTTTATTGAGCACCCCCTTGCCCCCTGTGCAAAGCGAAGAGCAAAAGCGTTTACAGCGCCCATGGCCAGATGGGCCATGGATTATGTTAGCAAATTACATATAGTGACAGGAGGATGAGTGTGGGGGAGAATTCCAGGTCCAATTCATGTCTATGGTATGAAGGAACATGTTTAGACGCCCCCTCACGAACTCCTCCTCGGTTTTGTATTTCTCTGAGAACCAGTAGTTAATTTAATTCATTCATCCCGGTCCCTGCGTCATTACGAGACTGTAATCTCATATATTTCAATATTGAACAAATAAATGACTATGCCTGGCGATGGTCGCATCAGTAAACGCTGTCTTCCCTGTGTTAATAATATACTGTACCTTTAATATAAGGAAACAAATGCAGAATTTTTTTAAATCGGCTATCAAACGACCGATACAGCGTATTTAGCCGAATTAGTACATATTAATTATATACATTATACGTGCGTGTATGGTAAGCATTTAAGGATAATTGTGGCTTGACCATCATATATATATATATGTGTGTGTGTGATGTGTACATCAAGGTCTAGATATACACACCTTGGTGTACACGGGGACAATCATGTACGACTACGTAAACAATGCACACTACTACAGGTACTGTATAAGTGAATAGCATCAGCATCATTAATTAATGTGGCGAACTGTCTTAAATCTAATATTGGCAACTGTATAATGTGTGGACTAACTTCAAGGTTACAACATGGGAAAGATGATAAAATATACACAGTAATTACCTTGGTCTCGGTTTCATCCAGACAAACACACGCAGCCCTCCTGATGTAGCCGTCCTCGTCCACCACTCTTGTCCGAGGTGTCACACTTTTCGTCCAACCCTTCCCCTTTGTACTTCCAGTATTGTTGTAACTGATGTCTTCCTCGTTGTTGTTGTTGTTAATTGTATTCCCGTCATTGTTGTTGGCATCTTGACCACAGATAATGGTGGCGGCTGAGCCAGTGAGGCCCCCTACCAGCTGATCCCCGCCGCTGCTGCTATTGTTGTTGTCGTCTATGTCATCACAACTCATGTCTTCATAACTGCTACTGCTGCCCGTACTGCTGCAGCTGATCCTGCCATGCCCACGTCTGCCGTTACTCAATTGACCGTTCAGGTTACAATTTCTCCAAAAATCGGTGCTGTGGCCAGCCCAAAGTGAGGTAGACCAGGAGCTGGGCGAGTTGGCCTCGCCCGGGAGCATCATGGTGTATGGGTGGGGTGGGCACGACCAAGCGTCACATACACTAACTGAAGGACAGCTTCCGGACATAGAAATAGACTGCATCTTGACCCAATAACGAGATTTTACACTAAAGATACAAAGCGCGATAGATTACTGGTCAAGTTTTCCGCTTTTTGCGAAACAATCTCCATTTACTGACATTTAGATACATAGGGAAGTTAAGACTTAGAGAATGTGACTACGAATCACCGCCAACCAAAACAAGTGTGGGGTACAAGTATCAAACGGTAAATAGTCGCAAGTCACACAAGAGCTTTGCTGCCTAACCCTCCTCAGCTGTGCGCTTGAGCTACACTGGTAAACAGAATGATCCCCGCAGCCCGGACGCACCTCACTTCTACTATGTAGCCCCCCCTCACCCCATACCCCAATGCCCCCACCTCCCTTGCCCTCCGCCAAGCTCTTCCCACCAGACCCCGCCTCCTCCATCATGACGTCACGACCAACATATACCGCCTACCGCCTGGGACCTGGTCACCTGACGCTTTAGTGTAGTCACTTATTTAGAACATTCTTGCGTGGGCGTTCGGTGGTTTATAATACCCTGGTATTATTTATAGCAGAGATAAATCATCTGAAAAATCTCCACCCCAGCGCCACTAAATACTTGGGTGGGAATTCTTCAGGTGTGGGCAGGTCAAATGTGCCCTGCTTATGAGACCTTGATCTGGTTTGTATAGCTCAAGGTATAAAGATAACACCTTGGTATAGCTGACACACACACATGACGAGTCGCACTCACATCACATAACGTTAGGTCATATATTGTACTCGGACGTTTTTGTATAGTAAAAAGTAATTACTATTGGCCTAAGAATATATCCAAATATCAAGTGGACATGGCTTCAAAATGGCCTCAAAATGCCCATGATATTGGTCAGATTTCAAAAGATTTCTGGGGTCGCCGTGTTCTCCCACCCACAACCTCTTAGATCCCCCTCCTTTTTTTATTCCTGTATTCGTCTCTGGAATTGCTTACTTACACACTAACTCATATTTTGGAGAAGGTTTCACATCTTAAGCTGAACTCATAAACCTACTAAATTGACCTGTTCTTCGTACCTACCTTTAGTTATTAGAAATTATTAAATAGGACACATATATAGAAATGGCTGATGTAACAAATAAAGATTTTGGGAAGGCAAATTCACTTATCCTTGTCGCACAGGAAGAGTCCCATAGTTCTGACTGACCGGGAGGGACAGTGTGAATACCTTATGTTAAGCCCTCGGAATATGTAAGGAAGCAGTGTGGTCGGCACCATACTCGTCCTTTTCACTTATTTAGATAAACATTTACAGTTAGGTGGACTGAGGGCGCCCAGGGATCAAACTAACCATCCTTAGGACAGGTGCATTAACTGCCTTGTTTTTGGAAGTCGTTTATCATCCAGCCCAGAAGTAATAGTAAATTATTCCACGCAGGTTAATGGGCAATAATGGTGTAACATCTAGAAACTTGACACGAAAGACCTTAAGATATTTACAAAAGTACCTTATTGTTATTGCCCACAAAGTGTGAGATGAAAGTGTTCTGTCGAGACTAACTCATTGAAGGTTGAAATTTCAGTTGCCTTTAAATCTATATCTATGAAGTATTCACGTTAATTTTTCTTCCTACATAGCATCAAACAAGTAAAGATAATAAAGATCAACCCTCAGGACCTTGTTATCAGTCACCTCGCTCTAGATATACAGTATGTGACGGCGGGCAGAGGTGTTGTCCTGAAGGCCGGAAGGGTTGTGTTAGGTTTTGTCCCTCACCCCGTATCATTGAGACAAGTACATTGTGTCTTCTTCCACGTGTAATTTACTCTCGGTAATTTATGTATAATATTGACCTAAATATGACAAAAGTCATACTACGACACTGAACAGTTGACAGAACGGGACGACATAGATAAGCCTATAGTTAAGAGGTTATTGGAAGATGCTTTGTTGGTTCAAATAACATTAGCGGTGAAGATTCATACTTCATATATTCAGTTGGTGAAAAACATGAGAGGTAAAGTTTAATGAGTGTCTGATTACAATGGATGAAGTTTATGCAAAAGTTGGGAAAGGCAAAGCTGCACCAGAACTAGGACCACATGGGTTGGGTAATAGAAATGAGACAGGAGAAATGATAATTGAATTTTGTAAGGATAACAAGATGATATTGGCAAATACTGTACATGGATTGAGGTCCCTCTATACACGGGTCGCACCCCAGGACAATGTATACAACATATAGTGAGGTCAGATCGATTACATTTTTATTAAGGAAAGCTTCAGAAATTCAGTGACCTGAACCAAGACCTCTCCAGGGGCAGATTGTGGGTCAGATCACGCCCCAGTAATGAGTTTAGTATGGAAAGAAATAAAAAAATTAAATTGAAAAATTATGGGCAATATCAAATGGGATTTCGGTAAACTCAAAACAGAGGCAGGGATAGAATCTGAAATTGAAACAGAAAATGGATTTTCAACATTGCTAGAGGGTGAATTTGATGAACAAGAACCAGGAAAACATTATAATAATTACAAAGTAATGTTATAGACCAGGTAAAATCTTACAGAACATAGTAGGAACGAGGCTAAAAGGAGATGACATGTTAAATTTTAAAGGTTGCTGAAAGGCTTTTTATATGGCCAGTCAGAAAGATAGAAGCTATCATTATTGGGCAATTGTCCCTATTTAGTGTAACACACACACACACACACACACACTGGAAAAACATTGTGTAAACAATGGTTGAGCACTCATTGATAGCTGGCAACGATTCTATGGCAACGACTACCTGTACAGTCGTGACGGAGTACACTTGTCTCGTGCGGGGGTAAAGACGTTGTCTGCATCCCTGGAGCGTGAAATTGTCACTCCAAAGGGGGGGTTTCGCCAGTAGAGAGAAGTCGGGGAAAGTGGGAGTCAAAAAACAAGCTGGTCCTGGGAAGTAAAATTGGTTACTCAGGACAAGGGGTAAAACAGGACCAGGGAAGGGTAGGTTTAAATGTATACTATACAAACAGTAGGGTTTCCATGCCTGTATACAGTAATCTAAACTGGGACGTACTTGAGATTTGTACAATTGAAGGATCATTTTCCTGTTTTTGTATTCAAAGGTACGCTTTCTAATTCCTAAATCTCAATTTGATTATCTCAATGTTGCATCGCCTTCAATTGTACTGACCACGGTTGTACATGTTAGTTAACGTAAAATCAGACGGTTCGTGAATTACGCTCTATAGCCCATAAAACATTATCTGTATCTTCTTTATCGAGTTCCCCAGTGGAAACATCCGTTTTCTCACCCTTTCAATACGCCTGAGTCTTTCGTTTTCTCTCATGTATCTCAGAGACTCTGTTATTTCTTACTTTTTACTTACTTTTTACTTTTATCCTCTTCACCACTGATCGGCTCGTTAGCCGCTTGGGCGGTCGGTCTCTGTCACGCACTGTTGGCAAGTACTGGGCATGCACCGGCTCCTGAATGTACCTTAACCCGCTCCAGTGTTGGTCAAGCCTTGTCTTGAAAGAGCTCACACTCGGTGCCGTCACAACACTTTCTGGTAGATTGTTCCAAGAGTTCACAACTCTCACTCCGAAAAGAGTTTACCCTCACAGTTTTCTGGACTTGCGGCTTCTTCAATCTTGAGCTGTGACCCCTTGTGGTGCGAGCGTCCGCCAGCTCCAAGTAAGGAGTAGGACACTCGACTGAGTAGTGCCCTTTGAAATGCTTATACACCTTAATTAAGTCACCCCTTGCCCGTCTGTAGTATAAGATTTTGCCAAGGTTTTCGACAGTGTACCCCACGAACGGTTGAAAATCAAACTGAAAGGGTATGGAATTCGGGGAAATGTCCTAGCGTGGATAGAAGACTTTCTACGTGACAGCAAGCAGTGTGTGGTGATTATTGGCACGAAATCATCATCCGTACCTGTCACAAGTGGGGTACCACAGGGCAGTGTATTGGGCCCGCTGTTGTTTGTTTGTTTCATAAATGACATGCCTGGCGTTGTACACTCCTCCATACAAATGTTTGCCGATAACGCCAAGTACTTGTCAATAGTGCGTAACACAGACGTGACCGATCGCTCTAGCGGCTAACGAGCAGATCATTTGGTGAAAAGGATAAATGAAAAGACATGCTAGGGACTGTCAGTTGATTGAAAATGTCCAAAGTATGGCCACCAGACTGGTGCCTGCACTACGGCACCTCAGCTTCCCTGAGAGATTAGAGCGCCTGGAATTGCCTAGCATAGCTTATACTACAGACGGGCAAGGGGGGGGGGGACCTAATTGAGGTGAATAATCATCTCAAAGGTCCTTGCCTGGAGCTGGCGGACGCTCGCCGCAAAAGGGGTCACAGCTCAAGGTAGAAGAAGCCTCAAGCCCAGAAAACTGTGATGGATAACTTTTTCGGAGTGAAAGTATTGTGAACTCTTGGAACAATCTGCCAGATGTTGTGACGGCACCGAGTGTGAGCTCTTTCAAGATTAGACTTAACCAACACTGGAGCAGGTTCAGATACATTCAGGAGCCAGTGCAGAGGAAAAAAGGAAAAGGAAAGGTGAGAACTTGAGGCACGGGTACCGTAGCTCCCTGGTCAGTGCTAATTACTGTCCCACAAATATTGTAATACATGAAGATATGGATATAAGATCTGATGCCTCCGTTGCAGGAAAACACATGATTTACATAAGTAATAAAAAAAAGTAAGCACTAAATGGGCGTCAAGAGCTTCATCATATGTCGCCTAGCAACGCCAAGTGTCTAAACATTGTTATAGTCATAGCTGTTCCTTGGCGCTAACTGGACATAGAGACAATCGTTGGGGGTATATGTCTATTTGCATATATTTATATATGTATATATTTATAAGTATACATACACGTACATATGTATATGGACTAATTATTTTCAAAATAATATTGACGTTTATTAAAATGATATTCTTGGGCTCCTGTTGACGCCCAGGAATAATGTACACGTCACTTGTTGAAGATTCCTGAGGGGAGAAGTTTTGAGAAGAATTGTCTTGATATTTACAAGTAATTTCAGACCAGTAGTTTCAGTTCGCACGTTTTTGCAGTTTTAAGTTAATCAGACATTACAATGAGTAATATTATACGTGCAAAATGTCTTGTCATTGGTAAGTAATTTTGTAAATATGTTTTGTAGAAGTAATCACATTTATCATTTTTTATCAGTTTAAGCTTATTTGTCCTATAACATTTGGTTTTTTCTTTATATAACTATCATGTATTTTTCATAAATTTCAGTGAAGTGATAATAAATGGTTCTCTTCATTTTTGACTGATAAAGGTATCACAAGAGGTCTAAACTATATTAATACTTTTCAGGTGATAGCACTGCAGGTAAAACATCACTGGTGCAGAAATTTATATCAGAGGGTAACCAGTTCCCCAAAAATTATAACATGGTTAGTGGTGCTATGATTGGTTAACATATAAAATATCATAGAACTTTAAACTGTTGACTCAAGAGACCTGACATTATTAGCTCTTGGGACTATTCTAAAGGGTTAGTAAATCTTTCTTTTTTGCAACTTTACCCCTAAAGAGGGTTATTTTGAATCAAATACTTTTCATTCCTGTACAATAGAGGGGGAAGGTTGAACAAGTTGATGCATGTCATGTCACAGATACTCGAACCATTTTAGTCTGCCTATACGAAGGCCCTTTGCCTCTATTTTATCCTTTCATTTCTTTAATTTCTCTATTGCCTCTTCAATACTGGTGTCAGCACTAAGGCAGGCCAGACCTAAAGTTCTGTGATATATTCCCTCCTGCATCATGATAGATAAAAGGTGGCTCAAGGCAGAACCCTCTTGTGCTCCCACTTTTACCTCACATTCCTCTTTATTTACTCTCACAGAGGTTTTTGTGCCCTTATGCAGGCATTCCCCGACCTACCACAGGGATGTGATCCTCGACCATGATCATAAGTTTATTTTTTTGTTAGTCATAAGTGTTAATTACATGGGTTAGGTTAGGTTAAAGCACAACCCTGCCCATACAAGACAACAATAATATCCCATACATAACAAATACAGTAAGTCCTCGCTTAACGTCAGGGTATTGTTCCTGAAAACGCAGCGTTATATGAAACGACTTTAGGCGTTATATGAAACAACTTTAATCGGGTCAATTTTCCCCATAAGAAATAGATAAAATCGGGAGTTACATTCCCAGCCCCTCTTTGCCCCATGAAATACATTACATATACAGAAAATCATAGCCATTTCTATAGAAAATAGTGCATACAATATACAACTACTAAGTTTGTATTGGTACTCACCGATGGGCGGAGGTGGTAGAGCAAGTGTGTGGTGGGTCGTAGAGCGAAGGAGGAGGATGGCGGGAGGGGAGGAGTATGGCGAGAGCGGAGGAGGGCGGGAGAGGAGGAAAGTGGTGAGTCACTTAGACTCTGCGGGTGCCTTCTCCTCCTCCTGTTCTGACTGGGTTCTTCCGCCACTGTTTGCTCCTCCTCGGCTTCTGTGTGCTCCTCCTTGGGTGCCGGCTGTTGTGAAGAAGCTGCTTCTGCCGTCCTGCTACGAAAAATGAATCCAGTGTTGACTGCTTGGTGCTACTCTTCTTCTACTCCTTATAGATCTTAGTGTAACAACCAAGACTGTCATCAATGCTATGTTGAACCTTTGAGCTGAGTTTTCTGTTTGGGCCATCATCTGTAATACACTGGTTTATTATAAGTTATTGATAATTTTTACAATGGTTGGGACTGGGCTGTTCTTATAGCTATCAGTTCGTGCACGTATGGGCTGGATGCGGTTGTGGTGTCGAACAGCAATTCTTGGGCTAGGGATCTCAGGTGGTAGTAGGAGCCGGTGTCGAGGATGGTGTAGAAACTTCTTACCAAATTTGCAGATGAGGTCGTGGTGATGGTCAGTGAGAGTTGAAAGGGTCAGTGTGTTGAGCGCTTCTTGATATGTGGAGTAGGAAGGGGAGAGAATAATCTTGCATGCCCTCTTTTGCACTTTTTCTAGGTGTTTACAGGATAGGTAGGTGAATAGATAAATGGAATGCAAATATAATTTTTGTTTTGTTTACTTACATGTGGCAATTCTAAATGGAATGCAACTTAAGAGAGAGGCCTCTGCTTCACAGCAAACATGTTGCGGTGTGTTTCAGACATCACTAACATAAAATAACTTACATTTACATAATTTTACACTTATTTTACTATTTCTTGTACTCAAATATGTAGATATTATTCACTGAGGCAATTTTTAGGAATAGGCACTTGACATAAGCTATTGGGTAAGGCGGTGATGGTGGTAGAGGCAGACGCACACACACACACACACACACACACACACACACACACACACACACACACACAACCTCCACTTGGCTCCCTCCCACCCGTGCCTCGCCACTATGCCGTGAATCCTCCTCTACCGCCTACCCAACCCACCCCTACCTTCATGTGACAGCCCGTCATGTTCTCATAACGCCCACACCCACATCGCCCACCCAATAGGGGTGCCCACTTGGAGCACAGAATCCCCATTTTTTTTCAATCCAGAATGCAACGTCTAGCTTTATACCTTGGTATGTAAATGCCTAGCATTAACTAGCTAGGCCAACTTACAGGCAATTAAAACATCTAATAATTACTTAAATACGTAATATTAAGAGGACACGTAGCTACCTGGCATTTAATTGCAATTCTCAAAACCCCCTGCTGTATGATAAGTTTGCATTTTTCCATTGAACTTAATTGCTGTATCAATTTTCTCATTACAGACTCTTGGTTTGGATATAGTAACGAAGATGATCAACGTTCCTGACACCAATTCTAGTGTTGAGCTGTATCTGTATGATTGCTCTGGGAAGGAGTTTTACAGAAATTTCATTTTGAGAGTTGTAAGTATTAATGTACTGTACAATGTACTGTACTCAGAGTTGTAAAGTCACAAAATAAATTTACTTGAGTTCAGTGATATCCCCGTTAGCCGGAACAATTGGTGCAGAGCACTTCCTGGGATGAGAGATTTTCGGGTAACCAGACGACTTTCTCAAACCCGGAAAAATCCCCCATCCCCAGAAATATTTCCGGTTACAGTGGTCCCTCGGTTAACGAACACAATTCGTTCCAGAAGGTCGTTCGTTAACCGAAACCATTGTTTCAATGGGATTTTGGGTAATTGGTTCCAGCTCACCGAAAATTACATACAAACTAAAAATAAATGCAGTAAAGTGCACTTACTTTGAGGTGTGTATGTAAAAGGCTCCTGGTTGATGATGATGATGGTAGGAATTAGAAGTTGGGGTGGAGGAGAAGGGAGAAGAGAAGCAAGTGGGGGTGGAAGAGAAATCACCCCATGCTTCATGCCGCCATTTCACCCATAAAATTTTAAGTTCACTAGGTGTAATTCAAAATTATTTTCTGTAAATCAACACTGCACTGCATTATATATTGTCAATATGTAAAATAAATTTCAGAATGACCAATAATTGTACTGCAAAAACGTAAAACTATTTTATGTTAAAGAGAGTCTCAAGGAAGATGCTACCTCCACTGAGCAGAGACACAAACTGACGCCATTCTGGGTGAGTCAAGTGGCTGTTTGGCGCGCTAAAAACTAGTTCCCTGTACTTCAATTATGTTAAATAAGTGTTAAAATTACTAAAAAAATTAATATAAGACTTGGAAAATTATTGAATAGTACAACCTTCTTGATATTTACTCAATTGGTAACGAATTTAAGCCCTAAAACCGATTACTGTATTGGCGAGCTAATATTCCAGCTGGTGAGCAAGTGAAAACATGTTGAGAGGAATTCGTAAGTAATTCGTTAACCGAGGGATCACTGTACATGGTAGGGGTAGAGATACTTTTGTCTTGCTGACTGTTTATCATATATTTTATTGCCTTTACAGATGACTTCATCAATGGTAGTAGCATTAAGGTATTAAATTTTTTCAGAGTAGCCAACCCTCACTTCTGATGCTGGTATACGATGTTACTTCAGAAAACTCATTCAACTGTTTAATGGACCTTTATGAACAGGTAAGCATTTTTTATATATCATTTTTGCCACCTATCAGCTCACTAGCCATTTGGGTGGGCGGTCTATCCAGTGTTAGTACAGGAGAAAACCAGGGACTGGGAAACCTGTGATGCTTGGTAATGTCACACTGGATAACACTCATATCATGTGTGTCTGGGTCAAAGCTCAAACCCTTGACATATTGGTCAGAGTTACGCAAGATATTTCATTATGGCTTTTATGATCTCTTGTTTTGCTCTCACTCCCTCCCTCCCTATGGTAAAGCTGCTTTAGCATGCCATGCTCGTGAACATAGTACAAATATTAGGTCTTTCAAATAGCGCTAACTTTCCCACCATACCTGGATCCTTCAATTCCAAAAAGGCATATGGTCTCACATTTATAGGGATGTCACCATTCAAGAGGAGAAAAAGTTAACTGGGCCATGAATGGTGTCCCCCTTCATTGATCAGAAAAAAATAAGGAATTCTTGGACCTTATTTTGAACCAGGACTCCAGCTCTCAATAGAGCTCTGTCTTTGGACCAGTATCATTCCTGCAGTACATTGTGAGAAGTAGAAAAATTACTGATTAACTATGTTTTATAATATTGAGATGCATATGTGAAATGTTGAACAGTGGGCATTCAGTTGCTTGTAGTAACTGAGGCAGTATAAGCAAACATGTGTTTATTTCATTTACATTATGAGAAGTCCAACCTTACAAATTTCTCTTACGAATTCCAGAAGACTGTCAGTTTATTAAATTAAATTCTGGCACCTCTGAATTGGTAAGGTTTGTTCTTAAACTACTATGTATTTGGGATATAGGTTGTGACTAGTGTTTATGCCTCCATATTAACCCCACTTAATATTAGCTAGCTTGAGTGTACAGTAAAGCCTCGAATAATGACGGTAATGTATCCACCATTATTGCAGTGTAAGGTGAATCATCGTATCATGAATCATTAATTACCATTAAAATAAAGCAATAATAATGAGATGAGTACCCTAGTGTGACATTTTCATATCTTTTGTGTGGCATTTTTTACCCTCTTTTCCAAAAAATCAATAAAATTAATGAAATATAAAAATTTTATTCTTTAAATAATCTTTATGAATGCACCTGATATAATATAAATCAATAATAATATGGTTGGAAGAAGAGATGGGATGCCATTATTGTTGTCAGTGTTTGCACTCATGATGACAGTTCTCCATCTGAAACTGAAGAAAATAAGACCCTGGTTGTTGTTGTAGTAAAATTAATGTTAAACAAATATTTTTGTTTTAATAACTGTAATGTTATTTAATGTATAGTAGAAGTAACCATTGGTGGTAAAGAAAAAAGTGGGATGGATTGCACACGCATAAAAACATGGCATCATTTCTCTACATAAGAATATGAATAATTCATCTCTCAAACCCAGAAACAAACTCCCCTATCCCTGGAATTTTCCAGGTACTGGGAAAATTTTCTCAGAATTTTCCGGAAAATGTGTCCCTCGGAAAATCGTTCCCAAAGCTGTAATTTTCCAGAAAATTACGGCTCTGCGAACGATTTTACAAGAATTTTTTTTAATTCCGACTCGGAGAGTTCCGGGTTTGAGGGATTTCGGCTGACGGAAATATTACTCTTTCTAAACCACATTTGAGTATATTGTAATGATTATTCCATAACTTCCTTACATGTAACAATGACAACATATCATCTCCACAGATATAATTCCTCGTTATCCCTCGCTTGTTGATAATTTCACTTAACGTTAGGTTTTTCAGGAACGCATCCCCGTTGTTAAACGGGGGATGCCTGTACTCTGTTGACCAATCTTGTGAGCACAAGCAACTTAGTGTTTAGAAGTTTCTAAATGTTGAAGAACAAAGTACTTCTCATAGTTCACTGATTTTTTTTTTACACATTTTTCAAAATAGTACTGCCCCATCTGTAGAAAATGCATTGCTACCAAACTCTTAAACTAAATTCTTAGGCATTATAAGTGAAATATGTCCAGCAGTGTTTGAAAGAGAACTGATTGGCCACAGAGGAAGGAATCCCATGCTGGGGTATACTGTATTCACATGTATTGTACTCGTCATGCACACACATCCAGTACCTGTCAGAACACTGCCTTAGTAACTGTTCACTTTTAACTTGAGGTAATCTGCTTCATGGAAAGGAACAAGATACTTTCTTTTCTTTAAGGGCAACCAAATAGTAATTAAATTACACTTCAGAATTTTTCTTATTGCAGAATTATGTAAAAATGGGCATATTATGACAAAATAGGCAATGTTATATTGAAATGGCAAAAATAGTCAGAAGTTTACATTTATGGCATTTTGCAAGAATATTTGGGTTCTATTCATAATGTTAGAAATGACAGATGTCTGATGGTCAGTAGATTCACGGCCATGAGAGTAAGAACAGGCTCATGCATCACACAACTTACATAATTCATTTAGCAATCTTAAATTAATTTATACTAGCTGCTTTGGGGAGGCTGACAGGTTATCAGTTGACGTATGGCTGTGAGAGGGAAAACACGCTCATTGTACACACCTCGTCTTTGTAGCAAAATGTGATCTTCACACCATACAGATTATCTTTTGTAGGTTTCAACCTGCTTTACACTCTTAACTCATAATAATAAAGGCATGTTGAAAGTGGTGTGAAAATGTTTTCACCGTTATTACAACTGAACAACAGTGTGTCAAGGTGCAAAGGCCATGAGGCTTCGATCTGACACACAGTGAGTGCAGTGTTGCCAATGGTCAGTAGTGTAGAAGAAACAAAAAATTAGACAATTTACAAATAGTTTTTGACTCCCCCCTTCATACATATCCATCATTTTTATAAAAGACAAAAACAAAAAAAATTACAGTATTCCTACAATCCTCTACAGTCTTAATTTTTGGGTTTTGTGTGTATTTTTTTAATTTTATACTATTCATTCTAATACTGTGGTCATTTTTGTGTTCCACAGATAAAATCACATGCAAAGGGAGAAGATCTTAAAGGAGTTCTTTTTGCCAATAAAGCTGACCTCACAACAAGACGGCTCATTAGTCCTAAAGCAGGAAGAGAACTGGCTCAAAAACTTGGCCTGGTATACTTTGAAGGATCAGCGGTAAGTGTGTGTGTGTGTGTGTGTGTGTGTGTGTGTGTGTGTGTTTCCCTAGGCAGCATGATGAGTTCTTATAAGCCATACACATCATGAGCAACTCAAATACAGTTCACAGTCTACATGGTTGATAACCCACATCTTAGGACCCTGATATTTGTGCCATGTACCGTATTAAAACAAGTCTGAAATATTTAACTGATTAAAAAAAGATTCTTCAATTAGTTTCCATGCCATCCACAACCATAGTCTCCAGAAAAGCATTTTTAGTGCTAGTTGTCACTTTAAGTTATGGATGGCGATTAACTGTAACATGTATAGTTGATTACAGGCTTCATTTTGTGGCTGTATTGACATTTTTCCTGATATGGCAATGTTGCTCTGATAGTGAAGATTTATGAATGAAACTTTGGTAGCCTATGTCTGGACCGACAAAGCTGATTGATCGACAGAAATTGCTAGTTTCATCTTTTAGTGCCGGTAAGTCTATGGATGACGTCTAATTAATTACAGTGCTGCATGATAATATGAACTCCACTGAAATGCAAACCTATTTATGCTCCTGAGAGGTTATGTCTCTTTCAAAAACACACATCCACAAATTCACGATCCTATAAAAAAAAGTTATTAAAAGGTCTTGTCCGAATGTTGTAGTCACATTCTCACATGTAAATAATCCTCCTTGTGATGTGGAGTTGGAACTGGGCTTGTCGTTGGTTGGAGCCAATATATCTCGGCCTACAAGGCGACGGGGTGTATAAGACGACCCCCAAAATTTCCATTTAAATATTAGGTTTTGAGCTCTATTCGCTGCATAAGACTACCCCAAATGTGACACTTACCATTGGGAGCTTACTGACCCAGCAGTCCTTTACCAATCATCCCACTGACCAGTGCTGTTTACACATCCTTGGTTATTTAAAATAAGGCCAATTCACTTCAAGTAATGGCATCAAATGTTACTGGCTGGTGTAGTGTAAACACTAGTGATGTCACTTAAGAGTCTGTCATTTAACTGGAACTAATGTCGGTATCGAGTAAAATTTTTCCATTTACTTGAAATGGATTTACCGATATATTTGTTTATTTATTTATTTATTTATAATATACTGTAATATATTAAACACACTGCAAGTATTTTATTTAATTTATATACTTACTTTGTGACAAAGGAAAGCTATACCCAGTAGGTGAAGTTTACCTGATACATTTATGGTTGCATCATCATTACGGATCAAACTCCGAATCAGATGACGTGGCTTCGGCTTCTTCATTCTCATCCTAAATTTAGCATGAAGAAAACTACCACTGTCGTTAGTTTCAAGAATTATCGAAGTCATTTACTGAATATTCTTTGTAAAAAATTAAAATTTTAAATGAATTATTTATAGGAGATAAGTATTATGATCAGTAAATATACCGGTATGCATTACTGGCCACTTCGGACACAAAGACGGGCTAAAATTAGCCCTATCTCCCCTTCTTACAGCGGTCAATGGGAAGATTCTTGGTAATTAATTTTTTTTTTCACTGTTCGTCTAATTTATTATGTTGTATCAAAGTAAAGAAAGAGCTCAAACTAATGAACAGTTAAGTCAACATTGGCAGAAGTAGGCACCTCTCTTTCTTTTGGAAATCGAAAGAAGGATGGTTTTTGTTCCTTCGGGAGTTGCTAGAGCAATTACTCGCTGCATTATACCATTGCAGCTGCTATAAAGAAATGCACAAAAGAAAATCGTGATTTCGCCGAATTTTTCATCTTCCTCCATTTATTCTATGCCTGGTAATTACTCCCCAGCCACTTTGTGGTGCCAAATAAGAATCCTTGCAGTCGTAAACTATGAAAGTGCATCACTGACAGTGGTAGACAGTGACAATAGGTAAGTACGATGGAGGGTTAATCTGACAATGAGTAGGTGTGATAGGAAGCTGTGAATGACTGTGCCAGTGGATGGCTATTTTAGTGAGTGATTGTGACAATGAGTGATGGTGGCAGTGAGTGATTGTTACATTCGATGATTGGGGTAATGGATGACTGTGACAGTGAATGACTTTGGCAGTGGGTGACTGCTTAAATTGACTGTGGTAGTGAGTGACTTAGAGTGATTGTGGCAGACTTAGAGTGACTGTGGCAATGAATGACTGTGACAGAGGGACAGTGCTAGTTGGTGACTGTGAAGGACAGTGGTAGTGGATGACTGTGATGGTGCCTGGCTATTGTGGTGCATGATTGTATGTACAGTACAGTATGAAAGTGAAGGACTGCCTTTAAGTGTAGATGGCTGTTACGTTGAGTGGATAAGAAATGACTGGTTGAGAGGGATAATTGCCAATAATGAAAATGGGACAAGAAGATTTTAGATATTGTACATACAGTACAGTACCAATATTTTGTCATTACTGTACTGTACAAGTTAATTAGCACTTACGTTGGTTTCTTTATCAAAAGAGAATTTGTATGTTAAGAAATGCTGGTAGTATTTCTTTAAAATCTATGAAGCTTTCTTATACTGTACTGTGAATGTAATGATGCCCTGGCAAATATTTTAATATAATGATTCTCTGTTCTGATCCACAGAAAGACCACTCTGGAGTTGAGGACCCATTCTTCTTCCTAGTTAATGAATGGTTCAAGATTTACACAGATAAGACACAGGCACTGAAACTCTTAGCTTGAAACAGTATTCAGTCCTTCAAGATATAAGCGTGTGATTGTTTCGGTACTCTTCATACAATTTTATTATTTATTTGAATCAATATATTAGGTAATCTTTCAAACTTATTTCATTAGTATCGTACTCTATTTGAGTAAATCTAACAGACATTCCTCCCCAACAAAAGTGTAATTAGGTCCTTGAATGCCTTGAATTCTAGCATTTTTTCGCCTCTTTGTGGATGTATGTCCGTTCAGGCATGCGCCTCCATAATAATCCAGTTTCATCCACATTGAATATTTGCTCAGGCAAATAATTTCCCTCCACAATGACACGATCTAGCTCCTCCTCAAAAGCTTCGGCAGCACCAACATCAGCACTAGCTGCATCTCTACTCACCTTTTCATTATGTAAACTGTAGTCATCAAGGAGCACAACCTTAACTTTTCTGGGGATAGAGCTTAGCACTCCGTCACTGGGGCGTATGCACTGATGAAAAGGCATGACGCGAGTGATTCGGGGGGGACTCGGCGAGTCATTCGTTGATCCCATTAGGCATTTCAGTTAGCCTGTGTAGGATACGTTGACCAGTTCTGCGAGTTGACGAAGAGTCGTGACATTCCATGCAGCGACCATAAGAAGTTGTGTAGTTTGTTTTTGTTTGGCTCTGATTACGATCGTGTTTTCGACCGTATAAGAATGCCCTTACTGGGTGTGGTTACCCCTTCCCCATGTGGGTGAGCAGAGTGGCTCCTCAAAAGGGCTGCTCAGTCACAGACAGGACCAGATTGTACTGCTGCTTAGAGCCCAGTGCATAAACGACCATCTTATCTGCGCTGTCCATGTCTAGTTGTGACTAGAGACTCAGCAGTCATCTCTGCTTGTCCCAGTCGCCATAGGACTTTTGGGAATAGTGTATAGGGGGTTTGATTGACTAGCAACAGGTTTGGTGGTGTTTATCGATGTCCTGGTAGTGATCAGCTGGACAACTAGGTACAGTGTAAGCACAGTGAAGTACTCTGTTATGCTAATGGTATGTTTTAGTCACCATGGTGTGGGGGACTTAGTTGTGTTACCAAAGAATGTTATGATGAACAGAACTTTTGTTTGACCATCTCCCCGACTCGTTTGAAAAGTGCAGGCGAAAGTGTTCTTGCAGGACGGGGCCCCTACCACACTGCTAAATATGTCACTGTCTTCACTAATTGGCTTAAGGAGAGCAAAGGGAAATTCACTGGACCTAAACCCAATTGAGAACTTGTGGGCAGCCATTCGTGATAGCTGGACATAAACCCTACTTGGCTTCAGAACCTCACTGACTGGTCCTGCCCATTTGAAGGAGTGTCTGAAGAGGAAGGCAAGTCAATGAAGTATTAGTTGGGGGTCAATGTGTGGTTTTCAATGTTTTATTGAAGACTTTTTTTTTTAATAATGCTGGGAAATAAGAGAGAATTCAAGGAAATATTTTGTTCTATGTACATTTTTTACAACAAATACATATATTCATGTCACTGTACACAATAAACTATAATATATAATTAAAAAAACAAGGTTAAATAATATACACAAATTAAAATTGATGAAAGGTCATGCAAGTTTGCAGGTCTTGGGGTAAAGAGTCACTGAACTATCATCATGGTTAAACATCACATCAATTTAAGTTAAAAAGTCCAGTGAACTAAATTTGACTTAGCATAAATGCAATAATTAATTGCATTTAGTGACAGTTTATTAAGGTCAACAGCTGAACACAATGACAATGGTAAAAGAATAGTAAAAACCTTTCCAAAAGCACAGGTAACTGACAATTACTTTGTACTAGGATGAAAACAACTGGGGCTCAAATATACTTTAATGTCAAATAATTAATTATTCAATAAAGAAAACCTGAGTACAGTATACTAATTATGGAATAAACTAGACTTCATTATCAACATGGAGGTCATATTTTACGAAATACTGTTGTACAAACATTAAAAGAAGGGTTTTTACTTTTTCTACATAACACCAAGTAGTTCTATAACAAGAATTAAAAAAAAAATGGCACTTTATAAAAACCTAACTCGTGACAACACAAGACCATTTATTACTTGAAGGTATTCAAAGTTATTAACACCAAGAAAAACAATTCTGGAGATGCACATTGCTACCTAATCCTGTAGGCAGCATTACCTTTGTTTTGTAACTGCCGCTAGTACAAAATTGGCCAAAATTCATTCGAAAAGTTTAACCTTTTTCCACACATAATTCATCAAATTAAATTCCAGACTGCTGATATATCTTTTAGAAGATGACTAGACTTCTCCAATTAACCACGGGATCACTACTATAAAAGCATACGAAAAATCACTTAAGAAAAAATATTTCAGCTTTGGTTGATTATGCATCATTTATGATGCTGAATGACAACTGGAATCAGTTTTTGCACATCTTTCACTGAGTTACAATGTAAGGAATAGTCATACCTTACGGAACTGATCATACAGGATTGTTTATTAACATCACGATCATTTTGAATAGTCTTAAAACCCATAAAACATGTACTGTACACACACAAAAGCAAAGTCACTTTCATATGTTAGTATTGACTGGAATATTCAAGTGTTTAAATAGGTTCATATAAAGCTGATAAGGGTGAGTATCAGCTCACGATGAGACTTCACAATAAGTAACCATGCTAATTCTCATACTGGATGATGCTGAATTTGTGTCACAGTTCTTCCAGATCCTCTGCCTTTTTTGTGGCCCCCAAAGCTGAACCATAGACCTAAAATAATGGAGAAGTTAGTACTGATAAGTATATCAAAACAATAAAATAATAATATCAATCCAAGTATGATAAGGGTATCAATTACAACACACAGGACTTTATAAATCTGAAGAATCTAGGAGTGTTTAAGAATAATTTAAAGTACTGTATGGCATATTCAATAATAAATGTTTACACTTTACTCTTTGCATACAGTAGTAAAACTGAACTTCAAAATCTTTGTTTTAATGAAAAGTTTAAAAAACAGGATCAGGATTAAAATTTAAAATATGCAATAATGAACAATATTAATAGCAAATGAATGGCTACATGTAACTACTGCTACTGATTAACCATCACCAAACCTGGCAGTTATGGTCAGCATTACTGATACTGTCACCCAAAAGCTAGACAGAAAATATTAAAAAAAAAAGAAGTCAGGTAGGAAAAGGAGGCAAGATGAACATTGGTTATAAATATTACTAAGGGACTGTATTATATATATATATATACGACTCATGCTTGTTACATGAAGTTTTTTCTCCACTTCATTATCTAAAGTACCTGCTCACTATGACTTCATAAAAGCTGTAAGTGCCACCATCACCTTAGCCATTTCTATATACAGTTACAGTTTCTGTTAGCAGGTCAGAAGTCTAATCTAAATTTCGAGGCAAGCTCATCACACTTGCCTTTCTTCTTTCCCTCGGGTGGCTGAACACCTGAGGGAAGGCTATTGGAGCGGATTTCAGGATCAACATTGACTAGAAGTTCAGCCTGAGCGTAAGTCATGGCCTGTACACGCTTGTGCGATTTGGTGGCTGTGAGAAAACATACCAAGCTTTTTCAGGTGGAGCTATATGTGATTTATAGTGCAGAGACAGTACAGTATATGGTGAGAGTGAAATAGAAACTTAATTAAACAATGAATACTACCAGTCTTTTGTGAACTAATCTTGTGAAGGTAAATTCCTGAAGAATTTGGAAACAAGAACTGGCATTTATTAAAATCTTTATGAAGATTGCATACTGTATATGCTGTAATATGAAATGTTACCTAATACTAATTGAGCACATTAAACAACATTCCTGTATGAAGTAGATTCATTTAAAACTGAATGATTCCCAGTTTAAATGAATGGTTTAATCATAATCTTCATAAATACTTTATCATACATTTAAGTACTGAGAATGGTTTAAAAATATACTGATACACTGTTCAAAGTTGTGCCTATTGGCCTGAGGGCAGGTTAGGGGTAATGTGGACACAGTACAAAGAATACAAAGCATTCAGTGTGCAATGAGGCAATGTGACCAGCACTGCACTCAGCAACCTTCACTTTCTAACTGAAAAGTTAGGGTCCCATTCACAGCTAATTCAACAAAGGGCGCCTAATGTAAAACCAGCATCCCTTAGGAGAGTGCTGTATCCAAACTGCATGATGGTTAGGATGTAGAAAGAGAGAACATTGAAAAGAAATTATTAAAAAGAGAGGAGCATGTGAGAGTTCTCAACTGAGTTTGCAAAAAGCAAGATCAAATGTGGTAAGCTAATGAAAGTGTATTTTTATGTGGGTAAAATATTAAGGAAAAAAAGGAAGGTACAGTGTAATAAAAAGATGCATGTAAGAAAGAGGCATTAATGAAGAGGAATGTACCAAAAAGATAAGGTGACAGAGGCTTTGATGTGGTTCCCCTTACTGAAGCATAAGGACAAGTTTATATCAGTTAAACAGTAATCCTATTACTTAACCAAATGATTTCTGGTTGTAACTAGAGATAATAAAAAAGTGAAGGTGCTTGATAAATAATGGACATAGAACAGGCCAGACAAGAGATGAACAATCAAATAAGAAAACATATTACGTAATTACAGTTATCACCTTCAAGATGAGTGATAAATCTCGAGTAGAATGTTTAAATGAAACCAAAGAATACATTTCCCATGATCTAGTTTCAACAAATATCCAGAGCTAGCTAGTTATCCTTGCCAGAATTGAGAGAACAGTAATATCTCCATTAGTCGGAATCCCTCTTAACTGAAATTCAAATTTACTTGGAATTTTCCAGAAAATTCCAGGTTTAGGAATGCTCATCCGAGGGGCGCATTTTCTGAAAATTTCAGAGAAAATTTTCCTGGTATCCGGAAATTTCTGAAAAATTCCAGGGATGGGTAATTTTTTTCCGTGTTTGGAAGATGAAAATTGGATGCATGTTCCGGAAATTTCAAGAAAATTTTCCCAGTAAAGGAGAATTCTGGGGATGAGGGATTTTTTTCCGAGTTTGAGTCATCTTGTTACCCGGAAATCTCTCATTCCCAGAAGTGCCTTGCACCAATTGTTCTGGCTAACAGAGATATAGCATGTACATACAAACTCTCCCTGCATATGCTCTCAGTCAATCATTTTTACCACTGTAATAGATGTGTTCTGCAAAGGTGTTCATCCTTCCACAAGGCTCAAATATATCTGCATCCCATTCATCCCACATATTAACCTTCAGCACATCATTTCTGTCATCTAATTTGCTCCCTCTCTTCATGCTTCACATCCATATAAAGAATAACCTCAAAAATCCAGAAATGTTGAGGGTTGAAATCTTGTCAAATTTGTAACTTTTAATTTTCTGAAAATGCAACTCCTAAGATCTCCAGGAAGCACTTCTATGATGAAATTCTTGAGTTAATTGCAGTTCAGTTTAGTAGTGTACAGCCATAAGAAAAATCTAACAAAAATCATACAGTATTCATTATAACTACCAAAGCAAGGATAAAAAGAATAAAAACTGTAAAAATACGATGAAATGGGCATAAAAAGTGCTAAACCATTTAACTCTTGCACACGCAATAAGTTTTTAAGTTTCGGTGACCATAAGGCTATACAGTACAGTATTGTTTCATTCCGAATAGATAAAATAAATTGTGTTCTCAACATCATATCTCTGGTATCCCAGATATTTTCATACAAACAAGATACAGTATCTCCATTAGCCGGAATCCCTCTTAAACAAAACTCTCCGATACAGTGGTCCCTCGGTTAACGAGCGCCTCGGTTAACGAGATTTCGGTTTACGGGCCAATTGCAAGAACAGTCGTTGGGTGTACGACGCCATTTACGATGACCTTCTTGCCCTGATCTTGTTTCAGTTATACCACCCTTTTGAAGCTCTGGAGAGATCTCGAAGTTTCAATATTTTGAGTACAGCACTAGCTAATAATTCCCACCAGGAAACTTGTTTCGAGACTCCTCCAAAGCTTCGAAAAGTGCAGAATTCTATGTGTTAAAGGCGATATTGCTGAAAAAAGACCAGGGCAAGAAGGTCATTATAAATGGCGTCGTACACCCAACGACTGTTCTTGCAATTGGCCCTACGAGTTACCTTCCATAAGATTCTTAACTTCGGTTAACGAGCAATCCCTCAATTAACGAGTTTCTTACGAGCCGACCTCAACATGTTTTCGCTTGCTTTGGCGGTCCACCAGCTGTAGTATTAGTCCGCCAATACAGTAATCGGTTCTAGGGCTTAAATTCCTTACCATTTTAGCAAATATCAAGAAGTTTATGCTATTCAATAATTTTAAAAGTTTAATATTAAATTTTTTAGTCATTTAAACAATTATTGAACATAATTGAAGGTAATGAAACTAGTTTTATGCGCGCCATCCAGCCTCTCAACACACCATACAGGCGTCAGTCTTTGTGTCTTTTCAGTGGAGGTAACATCTTGCTTGAGACTCTCTTCAACTAAATGCTTTTTTTCTGTGTTTGCAAGCAAATTATTGGTCATTTTGAAATTTATTTTACATATTGACAATATATAAAGCAGTGAAATGGCGCCATGGGGTGACTTCTCTTCCACCCCAGTGCCTTCTCTTCTCCCTTCTCCTCCACCCCCATTCTAATTCCCATCATCATCATCATCATCATCCAGGAGCCTTCTACACACACACCTCAAAGTAAGTGTACTTTTCTACCTTTTTTGTTGAATTTAGGCAATTTTCGGTGAGCTGGAACCAATTACCCAAAACCCATTGAAACAATGGTTTCAGTTAACGAGCAACCTTCTAGAACGGATTGTGCTCGTTAACCGAGGGACCACTGTAGCCATAATTTAAATTTTCTCGGATAATCAATCCCAAAGACGGAATTTTCCAGAAATTTCAGCTTTGGGAACGATTTTCTGAGGGTACCTTTTCTGGAAAATTCTAAGAAAATTTTCCTGGTACCTGGAAAATTCCGGGGATGGAGAATTTTTTTCCCGTGTTTGAGAGATGAAAAAAAAGAGCATTTTATGGAAATTCCAAGAAATTTTTTCTAGTACAGTACCTGGAAAATTCTGGGGATGGGGGATTTTTTTCCTAGTTCGAGAGATGATGTACTGCGCAATTTCTGAAACCTCCAAGAAAATTTTCCCGATACCCAGAAAATTCCGGAAAATCCAGGGATGAGACTTTTTTCCCCGGCTTTGAGAGAGATCACTTGTATCTTGAAAACTTTTTGGGGCAAAATTATTAAGTTTAATGATGCAATTTACATCACTGATGCATATACCTGTAGTGCTACCCAGTGATTTGATGCAATTTGCACCATGATGCGCGAGAGGGTTAATACGAGTCAAAATAAACCATACCTAATTTATAGTAATGCTCTTACAATATATATTACTTAATTTAGGTAGCAACTGGTTTTCAAATGTAAAAATACATTGACCTGCCTTATTGCCTCCAGGAAACACACACAAACGTAAGCTTCAGAAGTGTGATGCTCCGCTCGAGGCAACAATTTTAAATCTAGCTGTACAATATGCAGTTAATTATTTTTGTTTTTATTTTAGGAGAAGAACAGTCATAACTAGAAGTAATCATTAAATAAGAAAATTAATACAGAATTTCACTATAAAGTACTTAGAATTATGTCTCAAAACACCCACACTGGGTTCAAGGGTTCAGTAATGGATTTTGGACCTGACCACTTATCTGCATACAGTATAGTGTTGCAGGCTTGGAGCCATATGTGACTTAGTCTGTGACTGGCAGTGTTTTGTACATATGAATGAATACTGTACTGTACTGTGGAGTACTATATACTAATCATTATGTTTTCAATTAATATTTATCACCACCATTCTTAATATTAATTCTTTCTGTATCTTATTTTTGTTTTGATCTCCCAGTGCCATTAACTTTTACTCCACGGATAGTTTCCTATTACAGGGGTATTGTAATTTTTTCACAAGTGACAGATTTCTAATTTCTGGAATTCTGAAGTTCTTCAGTGATACCCGGTAATTTTGTCTCATCAACTCTTCTATTCTCTCCCTCTGAGTAATTCTTTCTCTTGAGTTAATAGATCCCTCAATGCACCCATTACTCCCTTTCTGCTCTTACATTATCTGTGGTTTATCATTCGCTATTCCATTTGCAGTCACAACTATACCTAGATAACTGAAACATTTAACTTCAACCTATCTCCATTCACACCAACATTTAAATCCTCCTGTCAAAGATTCATGTTAAACAAACATGGTTTTTGCTGGAATAAAACTCCTCCCTCAAATAGGAATTATAGAGAATACTGAAAACTTGTTTTCAAAATCCCTTTAAAGGAAAAGACATTAAAGGTAACAAAAAAATCTGAGAAAAATTAAATTACTTACTTCGAGGTCTCTTTGGCCTGTTCCTTTGGTTACGAGCAGCAACTTTAGCAAGATGCTTAGCTTTCTCTGCTACTACAAATCCTGCATTTTCATCTGCAGCTACTAATTCACGCTCTCTCCTGTAACAAATGTTGAAAAAAAAATGTGATATAAGATTTCTAAAACTTATGTAATGTACACTCCTCGCCATTGCATTATGCGCGAGGTGGCCGACGGGAAGTAATCTGTGCTGAAGTGTCTCACACCCCACCACGCCAGCCAGCTGGCATTGTAAGTATGGCAGTGAAGGGAGACTCGAGGACAAGTCAACCAGCAATCAAAACGTTCACCAGTTGCCCGCGTAAATTTTGTGAACGAAGATTTGAGTTTTACCCCAGCGACATTGCCCCTATTTATTGCCACATCGCCCGTTGCTTCTTTGCTTTTTTTACCACAATGGACAAGAGAAAAGATTTAACAAAAGAGCAGATAGCATCAATTATTAGTTTGCATAAGGGCCAGAAACCTGTAAAGGAAATACCAAGAATTGTTGGAGTGAGTGAACGATCAGTTCAGATTTCGATTAAACGATTTCGAGATGACGGCGGGTTGGCAATACCAGTGCACAGCGGAGGGCCAGGGAAGGCTTGAAAAACTTCCCAATGCATGTTAACTGTTCTTAAGAGGCAACTTGATGCTAATCCATGTCTGTCAGCATGGGAATTGAAATTAAAAAAACTTTATTTCTAGGTGATGTTTCTGTAAGGACCGTTCACTTCCGCATCCATGACGACTTGCAGTTTCACAGCCACGGCACATGCAAGAAACTGCTCCTCACCCTTGTCCAGAGGCAGCGTAGGGTCCCTTTTGCCAAGGCTAACGCTCAGTGGGATATGACCAAGTGGCAGCACTTGCTGTGGAATGACGAGGTAACGTTTTCTTTTACTGGAAGTCGTACTTTTAATGTTACAGGCACCCCGGGAGTGATTCGCTTGACCCCAAGTTCACTTTTAGCACAGTTAAGCATCCTGAGTCACTAATGGTGTGGGGTTACTTCTTGTACTTTGGAACTGGTGATCTTGTTGTACTACCTAGGAATGTGATGATGAACCAATTTAACTACTTGGAGCTGCTTTGTGATCATTTGCCCGGGTCTTTTGAAAAATGCTGCGCCGAAGTGTTTATGCAGGATGGTACCTAATGTCACACAGCAAAATCTATAATGCAATGGCTTGGTGACTGTCAGGTAGACTTCATAAGTGATTGACCAAGCAATTTGCCCGACCTTAACCCGATAGAAATTAGTGGAGCATTTTCAAGCTTCGTCTACAAGGCAAGGACACAAATACCATTCCCAAGCTGGAGGCAGCCATTCGTGAGGAGTGAAATAATTTAGACCCACAAATAATCCACAACTTGGCAGAGTCAGTTCCTTCACCTTTGCAGGAGTGTATCAAGAGAAAAGGGAGGCCCATAGACTACCAGAAGTTTGTTAACTTCTCAGATTAATTTTTTTATTAATATTTCATCTTGTTGTTTATATCCTTCACAACCCCGCGCATAAAGCAATGGTGAGGAGTGTAGAATCATACTAAAATCAGACAAATTTGCATATTACCTTGTCAGTAATACTTGTAATTTATATCTACTGTACTACAGAATATATATTACTTGATTTGTTTAATTATCTAATATAGGTGGATTAATATCCTATTAATGATGGTAGTGTGGATATGTCTGTTAATTTTAATTTCAACATAAATTTAAACCACAACTTCCTTACCTGAATGCCTCCATCCACTTCTGTTTCTCATTAACAATTTTGCTGGAAAACACATACCATTTATTCTTCTCAAGACTATGAATTTTCCATGCATTGTGAACACTGATGTTAAGACTGGAATCTGAAAAGGAGAGGAATTTTGTAATGATTCACAAATTAATTGTTCAGGATTTACTGTAAAATTATTATTATTTTTTTAGAAATATAAGAACATAAAAACATAAAAATGGAGGAAACTGCAGCGGGACTATTGGCCCATACTGGACAGTCCCATTTACACCCAACCCCTATCGCTCATATAGCCATCCAGCCTGTTTGAAGCTATCCAGCATATTCGAGTTAATGATGAAGTTTGGTAACTTTTCCATTCATCCACTACTCTATTTCCACACCAATGTTACCTATCTCACGCCTAAATCTAAATTTGTCTAATTTAAAACCAATGTTGCGAGTTCACTCCTGGTTGGATAGATTGAGTACCTTTGTAATGTCACCTTAGTTTAGCCCTGACTTCCATTTATACACCTCGATCATATCGCCCCTCACTCTACATCTCTCGAGAGAGTGCAAATTAAGATGCTTTAACCTGGCTCTGTACTTAAGGTTCCAAATGCCCGGGATTAGTCTTGTCATTCTCCTCTGTATTCTTTCTATGGATTCTATATCCATTCTGTGGTACAGTGACCAGAATTGAACTGCGCAAGATATAGTTTTAGGATGACCTCTCTAGTCTTGTAACTAACACTCCTTTGTATGAACCGAAGTACTTTGTTAGCCTTGTTTAGAACAAATACACCTTGCTTACTTGGTTTAAGATTCCTACTTATCATTACCTGAAATAATACCTGAAATAAAATAGAAATAATTTTTTTTAATTAATAATAATTACAACAAAGGGTAACATACCTTTCCCATCAGGGAGATCAACAATCTCACACATATCGAGATTGAGTCTCCCTCTGTACACAAAGGTATTTCGTTTTAGGAGATCCCGCTTGCAATACACAAGCTGATGGTCAAAGAGGAAAAGCGTCACTTCCTTAGGCCAAGATCCGCCAACTCCTTTAGTTACTTCTCCCTGGTAAATCAGCTGCGAGCTATCCTCGAGGAGCTCCGACCCCTAAACAAGATAAAATTATGAATAACATTTCATTTAGATATGGCATCTAATGCTGCTGTATGTTGCCTGGTATTTTCCAAGGATCAAATCCATTAACTTAATCACATTCCTTACTCACCTCCCAACCCTCAACAGTAATCTGCCAGGATGCAATCTTCTCCAGACATTCCATGCGTCTTTTTCGCTCATTGACAAGAAGAGCCACGTCTCTCATAGCCTCCAATGCTCCTTGGACACTCGTGTGATCAGGATGCTCAGACTATAAGAAGAAAAAATATAGTACAGGTACTGTATTTGTGGCATTGGAAATCAAAGCCACCCTAAAAAAAATATATATATAATAAACAAAGGTAAAAGAGCAAGCATAAAATCTCCTCAAGTGATAATTTAAATGGAGATAAATCTTATTTTCCTTATGTACTCTTGCATGTGAGCTTTGGCTCAACCGATTCACCCAATGAAACACACTATAATTAACCAAAGCCTAGATCTAAATCATAAAATGTTAGAACAAGTCTATAATATTCATCATACATACCTTTGTATATTTCAACAGTTCTTGTAGTTGGAGAGGATATTTGCATATTTTTTGAACTGGTGTGAGTAGGAACCCATCAAGTGAAATGTCAATCATTTCTTGCAGAAGGCGGCAAGCCTCAAAGAAATGGATATATTTTTGATCCTGGTAAAGTTCTTGTAGTGATGACATTGCTGCTGGGTGATTATTGCAATACTCACTGTAAATTTCAAACTTTTCTCTCTGAAAATGAAAACACACAGTGAGAGAACCATAATACAATACAGTATTGTATTCCACTATAGCTTAGTTTTTTCTTCTAGTCAAGTTATCTTTCTTATGTCTCTCTCGCTATGTACTACACAGAGAAATTTAACAAAAATACATCAACTAATTTTTTATTATTTACTTGAATCCTACGACTACAAAGAAGAGCCCATTTTTATCTAACAACTACAAGGAAGACTTATTTATTAAATATATTATTCTCCATAATAAAATATACAACTTTGGACACTCACATTACGAATGAAGGCAGCACCAATGCAAGATTTATGAGGATCTTGCCAGTCAATGCACATTTCTAGTTCTCTAAGGAAATTGCTCTGGAACTGGTACAGGGCCTCCATATTACCAAAAATAGTGGATATCCGTTCATCGCTGAACATGTCTGGTCTCTTACGAACTTGCCGTAGGTATCCCTGAGGGTGAGAAAGGATTCAGTGTGACTACAATTACAATATTGTATTGTACTTATATGTACCTAATCTTTTTAACAAAACTACTACAGTATCCTAGTGTCAGTTAACTACTTGATCTGCTCACAACTGGCAATTTAATGCAGTACTAAAATTCCAAAGGTAAAATTAATAAAGACAAATATACAAATACTAGTACAGTATGTACAGTTCAGTGCTCCCCCCAAGTACGAGGATTTTAACCGCGTGGAACGCACCTACACGTCAATGCCATGCAACCCAAATTCCAAATATGTGGACACCAGTCCCAGTCCTCCTCTGCTCAAGACACTACCGTGGCTTGCTTTTTCTTGTATTTTTAGGTGTTTATGGCTGCGACAGCTACCATGGCTACCCCACCTACTGATGGTGGGATTCCAGCAACTGCCCAGCCAGGCAGAAGAGTGATGTTGATGACCCTGGCACACAAAGAGATAATAGACCGGCTGGACAATGACGAGTGTGTGGCAGGTCTTTAAAGACATCTCTACTTCTGCTCATGACCACATTCATCATAAAAAGAAGGCTACAGTCGACCGTGGCAAGATGCAGAAAATGATCAACAGACCAAGAAGATGATGCCGGTCAGCTCAGCAATGCTCCGTGAGACAACGAAGGTCTACTACAAAAAGCTGAATGCTGAAAAAGATGTCAAAGCTTTCGGAGCTAAAAAAGGGTGGTTTAACCAATTCAAACAGAGGGAGAAGCTGCACCATCTCAAGATTACTGGAAAGTGAGCAAGTGCTCATTGTTGCAGCAGACACCTACCCTGAGGAATTTCTGAAGCTTATTGTGGAAGGGGGCTACACACTCGATCAGACCTACAATTGTGACGAAATCGGGCTTCTGGGGAAGCGTATGCCCACCAGCACCTTCACCTCACAGGAGGAGAGAGCTGCATTGGGATTCAAGCCTGCCAAGGACAGGATCACCCTCATGATGACCTGCAATGCTACAGGGGATCACAAGCTTCCTATGCTGGCAGAGTACCGCTGTACAAGGCCGAGGTGCTATAAGAATGTCAACATGGAGTCACTAAAGGTCACGGCAAGATCTCTCGACTGGTTTGACCAGGACTTGGTGTTCATGACGAAAGCATACTGAGAGAGAAAAAATTTGGCACATTGTGTTCTCCTGTGTTTTGACAATGTACCTGGTCATCCAGCAATTTTAAGTGAACGTCACCCCAATGTGAAGGTTATTTTTTTTGCCAAAGAATGCAATGTCACTCATGTAACCTTTATATCAAGAAAAAATTGCCCCCTTCAAGAAAAATACTTCTCTCTGACCTACCGTCAGCTGCGAAAGGCAACAGGTGTGACATTCGAAGAGGCAATGGAGACAAACAGGGAACAGCAGAGCAGCAGAGGTGAAGACCAACACAGGCAGGAGATACGAGACTGGTGGAAGTGCTACACTATCATAAATGCGGTGGACATTGCAGTGGTTGCATTGGAGAACATTACCAAGACTCAAGTTGTCTGAGCGTGAAAGCCACTCCTAAGAGCTTACAAGTGAAAGTGATCTCAGTGAGGTGTCATCTGGTGAGAATGTGCTGGGTGAGCTGTGAGGGGTTGAGGGGGCAGTGACCAACGCCGAGGTGGACGAGATGCTGGAGAAGCTGAGCCAACGGTTGAGGAGATTGTGGAAGAATTAGAGAGTAGAGGACATCAAGGATGAAGAGGTGGAGGCACCAAGAGTGTTAATGCCCAAGGATGCAGCAAAGATCCTGGAAATAACCGAGACCCTCAAGGCAAAGTTAATGGAGGACAACCCACACCTGGCAGAGAGTGAGTCACAGGTGCTGGAGATTGAACGCATCCTTTAGCCTTACAAAGACCTCTACACGAGCCATATCAATCGGCTACGTGAGTCTACCATCACACGTTTTCTTGGCCAGTCTATAGCTGCCCCTAGCCCCTCTGCCTAGCCCCCCTACAGCTCTAAGTCCCTCTGCAGCTCTGCCTGGCCCCTCTGCAGTTAAGCCAGGCCCTTCTGCAGCTCTGCCTGGCCCCTCTGCAGTTAAGCCAGGCCCTTCTGCATCTGATGAGTTTGAGGGGTTTTAGCACAACCCCAAGCCTCGGAAATCGTCACTCAAGCTGGCATCTCCACGATCACCAGGCATGTTTATTCTTCTTATTTAAGGGCTTATTTCCATTTTATTATTCACCTTATATAACTAACATACACATTTAATTGAGGGTAACTTTCATAGAGGTTATGTGCAGAAAAAGTACTTTGAAAGACCAGTTTTGGGTTCAGGGTGTGTATCTGGAGAGGTCCCAGAACCAAATGTTTTTTCTCATTAGTTTATAGTAACCAAGTACACGGTTCCCATGTACGTGTCACTCCGTTGGTACCAATTACCCGCGTACTTGGGGGAGCACTGTATAATAAACACATAAAACAACACAAATATCCCCCATTATAATGTACATAGTTAAAAATTTGCAGTCAGTGATAAATGAAGAAAAAGTAAAGGTGGATAAGATAATTATTTAAGCATGTAACTACATTTACAATAAAAGATCATTTCATTAAATTTGCAACTGAAAGCGGCCCTGCAACATGAAAAAATTTAGATGTACCTTCACAACATCCCGTAAGTGTTTCACAAAATCTCGCTCCGTGGATATGATTTCATTTATTACATTAGTCCGAATCTGATCGTGAGACAGCCCCGAGACACTGAGTTTCCTTGCCGGTCCCAAAATCCTCATGTCATCAAGACTTCTGGAGTCCTGGTGATCCTCTTGGTTCACTAGAATCTGCAAAACAATACAAAATGGCAATGCTGTGTGTGTTTTTTTCTTCCCAAACCAAACATATTTGATGGAAGAATATAAAGGAAGACAACCAGATGATTATCAAGGGAGATAGAAAGTAAAAAGATTAGTTTCAAGGGAAGTTAATGCAATAAACTGTGTAAAAGGAGATAGTAAAAAATAAATAAATAGATAAAAAATTTACGTAGATTAGTAAAATAGGTAAATGAAGAGCATTATGTTCATGGGGGAAACCAAAATAGTAGGTAATGTTTTCTTATGCAATAACTATTGAACTCAAAGAACATTTTCATTGATTTCCCTGCAATAATAATTAACAATATGAACTAGAACATTCTTTGCTTTTACCAGCACTGAAGTTACATGATTCAAAAGACACAACAGGGAATTCAACTTACTCGGACAAAGGCAGCTGGAAACCATCCTGCTCGGTGGCTTATCCTCCCCCACCACCAGTCTTTATCACTGGAGTCTATCACTGTTATTAGGTCACCAGCTTTGAATACCAGTTCTTCAGAGTCAAGTGTTACATGGTCCCACAGAGCTTCTGCATATACGATCATGTCATCATCCTGAAAGGGGCGAGAATTTATAGCAAAAATTATAAGAAAACCTTTTATTATTACAGAAAGGAATCATAAGGCAAGAATTACCCTGTACATGAATACACTGTATAGTAACAAGATTGTGGGAATAATATAAATGAATGTTACTTTTTTTTTACTGCGATAAGTTCATGACAAAGGATCTGTCTGTATTTCTGTTGAGAGAATGACTGTAGTAACTTTTTACCATCTAGTATTCGGATACAGTAAAGTACTTAAGTTTGTGATAATTGAGCCAGGCAGTATTACATAACATAAAAGGATTTTAAAATAAGCCAACATCTGATCCACTTCACTTGTTCTAACATCTGCACAATTTTTCTGATAAAATATTACATGCTACTCTCCTTATCTCAGTGTTATTTCAGGCCAAAATTCTGCACGTACAGTACTGTATTATACAAGAATACTATAGTACTGTACAGTATATGAAAATGTGCAATTCTTACATTTTTTTACAGCAACACAAAATGAAGGTTTACCTCTTCCAAACTTCTCTTGAGATCAGTTCTAAAGTCTTCAGAGTCAGATATTCCAATCTCATCTTCTGAGGTGGTGGTGTCCTCATTCAAGATATTCCCAGCTGATGGTCTTCGCTGCCGTCTGTTCTGGGTATTTGTTGGACTTCTACACTTCCGTAATGTTGAAGTTGGAGTTTCATAAGGTCTGTCCAAATCTAGGGGTTGACTAACTGAACGACGCAGGTGAGAAGACCCTTTGCTTCTTTTGAGGCTGGAGAGGGAGTCAGAAATTTTAAGTTGTTATAATTGTTAAAGGGAAAAGCTTGGCAAATGACAAACTTCTGGCCAACCCAATAGCTTTGACTAAAAATAGAAAAATACCGTAAAATTTAGAAAATAAGCAATTTTCTTCAATTTTATACAATAATCGAATTAGTAGATAAAAATTAATATTTTTTCTCATATAAACATCCCCCATTTCATAAATTTTGGAAGGTTAGAAGATCTGTCAATCTACAATAAATTTACAGCATATAAAAAGGCTTTGTAATTTCCTAAAAATATACAAACACAATGATATAGAGTACTGTACTGTACTGTACTGTACTGTACTGTACTGCACTGTACTCTGAATTTGCTAACTAAGGAGACTTTGATTTTTGGTTAATGTTCTAATATTATTAATTGAAGTTTATAAGGAATTTAAAAAAATCAAGAAACCTATGTTGTACTACTGTAATGGTGTAATTAACTCTAATTTTAAGCCTCATGGAAATTGGCCCCTTGGATAAAGTACAGTACAGTTCTTCAGTGTGTATCTGTGACCTGGTGGAAATCTAGCTGCCTGTTGTTTGTCTATACACCGATACCGATCGCCAGGAAATTACAGAAGACTGGCAGGGCAGCCAGTGGTAATTTGACGACACTTGTGACTATTGGACTATTGGACACTGGACTATTGTTTCTGTACATACAACCCTGGGCACTGGTAACTGGCGGTGGAAGCTGGGTAAGCGATGGAAAGGAGGGTCGTAAAAGTTGCAAACAATAGGCTAAGCAATTCTAAGTCACTTCTTCTATGATGCTTCCCTCTCAAACGACATAGAACCGAAATATTTAATATGCTGGGGGTCCGAGGGGGCGGTTAGGAAGTTAGGTATGTTTGGTTGGTGCTATGAACCACAAATTACTAATTAAGTTATCCTAACCGACCAAACCTACTTAACTTACTAACTGGGGGGAGGTGGACCTCTCGACATATTAAATATATGTTCAGTACAATATATCGGTCCTAGGACGTTTGCGAGGGAAACGTCATAAAATAAGTGTCTTAGAATTGTCCAAACTATAGTATACAAAGATAAAATTCCCGAGATTCGGTTGATGGCAACAAATGCAATGCAGTAATAATTTTTCTAATTTCTGATTTTCAACTCACAATACATTATCTTGGTTATGGGTAAAATGTGAGGCAAATGTTAATAGAAGGAAATCGTCTTGTATATGTCTGTATACTTTCTTTATCCTCTTCGCCATTGATCGGCTCGTCAGCAGCTTGGGCAGTCGGTCACGTCTGTTACGCACTGTTGGCAAGGACTGGGCATGCACTGGCTCCTGAATATATTGGAACCTGCTCTAGTGTTCGTCAAGTCTGGCCTTGAATGAGTTCACTCTTGGTGCCGTCACAATGCTGTCTGGCAGATTGTTCCAAGAGTTCACAATTCTCACTCTGAAAAAGTTTGCCCTCACAGTTTTTTGGACTCGTGGCTTCTTCAACCTTGAGCTGTGACCCCTTGTGGGGCGGACGTCCGGTAACTCCAGGCATATACATTCGACCGAGTAGTGCCCTCTGAGATGTTTATACACTTCGATTAGGTCTACCCTCGCCCGTCTGTAGTATAAGCAAGGTAGGGGCAGGCATTCTAATTTCTCTGGGTAACTGAGGTTCCGTATAGCAAGCACCAGTCTGGTGGCCCTCCTTTGGACATTGTCAACCAATTGACAGTCTAGCATACCTCGGGGACCAGACAAGGAAGCACCTCACTATTGAACACTGTGACGGACCATCCAAATATCTAAACGACCTTCTTATAAAACCTACTAGTTTAATTACCCGATTCACCTTCTCACAATGCCCCGAGAGCTTAAGTTCATTGTCGACATACACATCCAGTTCCTTTTCATATTCGGTCTCAATTAATGCAACCTCTTCGTCCTGTTAGGTCATGTGATACACCTTCTTACTGTTGGTGCGACCCAGGTGCATCCTTTTGCACTTCATGACATTGAATCTTAAAAGCCATTTCTTCGACCATTCTTGAAGCTCATAAGAGATCTTTCTGTAGCTCTTCACAGTTTGTTTGGTTCTTAATTTCCCTAAATAACTTACCATCGCCCACAAACATTTGTATGAAGGAGTGTATAGCTTCCGGCATATCATTTATGAAGCAGACAAACAACATCAGGCCCAATACACTGCCCTATGGTACCCCATTTGTTACAGGTACACATGACGATTTCGGTCATGCAAAAAGTCTTCAATCCACACTAGGACCAGAGCCGGATTTAGACCTGTGGAGGCCCATGGGCAGCCTCTTTGTGGAGGCCCCCCCTCATTATAACTACCCAAGAGGGTGGGGTGGCGAGTGAAGCGAGCCTAAACATCTGGGAGTTCCGGGGGGCGCTGTAAACCCCCCGAGAAAATTTTGAAATTTGAACACTTCTTTGGAGAATTTTGAAGCCATATGCAGTTATATTGAGGAAATTAGAACATGGAGAAATTTTTAATTAACTGTATATTTATTGATAGTGTACAAATTCCCAACACAAACACACACACACAAAAGTGAGACATGACTGGAGTCATTCATGTGGTTTCAAGTCGACCAGCCCTGATATAGCTACTACCGCACACGTCAAAAATTTTCAAGAGACTTCACAGAAAAGAATACTGTATATTATTAGTTATTACAGAGAGATGATTCTTTGCATTACTAATCAGATAAACCTCTACTCAAATAATGGTTCTGTCCAAGAATGCATGTATAGGCTTCTTTAAGTCCAAGGTCAGATGTAAATATGTGGAGGCCCCCCTGGGCAGCTGCCCACTTTGCCCACTCCTGAATCCGGCCCTGGCTAGGACACTTCGCCGAATCCTGTACCCTTCCAGTTTAATTCTCAGCCTTTTATGGGGTACGCTGTCGAAGGCCTTGGCAAAATCTAGGTATATATTGTCGATATTTCTGCAGGTTTTCTAGAAATTGAGTGCAAACATCCAATAGCAAATACAAAGCTATATTTAATTACCTGTATTGTAATGTGTTGTAAAAGTGGTTTTACCTTTTAGACCTGTGTAAAGAGGCAGTATGTTGTGGGAGTCGGTGGGCGGGTCTGATCTTAATAGGCTGAGGGGTGGACAGCTGACGGGAATAGTGAAGACAACTGCGGCCTCCCGTCCCCCCAACATCACTATGGGCGCGACGGACAGCGCGAGGGTTCACCTCCCGGAGGCCGCTCCCGCCGTCATCAGCTAAACTCGCCTGCAAAATGACACATATTACGTTAGTGTACAATACAACTACGAAAATTTTACTACACTTCCATTTTACTTCTGATTACCATCTTCTAGAATTGAAAATGCTAACTTGGCTCCTTTCTAAATTAATATAACACCCATGAAATCAAAATATCTAATAATTCAATAATGCAATTAGTAAATTTTGCAATAAGAAATAAAATCTGTGGTTTAAAGTATAGTATTCATTAAACATTATAACGTCCAGAAAATGTTGATTTATGCCCGTCTTGCTTAGTGCTTACCCCCTCCCGGCAACACAAACTATCTCAGACATTTGGCGAAGGAGTCAACCCGCACACTATACCCTGTACAGTATCGGGGATAACACAAAATTCATAATTCCCAAATTCATAGATATTTTGTATATAATTTTCAGCATTGAAAATTTTGGTGCAATGTTAAATAAAATATCCAATTCTCAAGCATATTTTAATATAGATAAACACTGTGCAGAGCAGCCTCATTGTTTTACCTGTTTCACTACTGTTGAAGGTAAATAAAAGTTTTCATCGCGGGAAATGTAGGTTATGATTTTTTTTTATGAATATGTGCAAAACCTTCAAATTTTCTTCTCCCGGGTACCAATCATCTTGGGCTGCGTAGAAAGGTATATTGAAAGTGAAAAATTTCGAGGAATTGAATTGCGATGACCCCGCCACAGCTAGTGCCCGGGGCGAGACAGGTGAAGTTGGCTGGAACCCCCCCACCCCCTCCCAAACCTCCTCCATCCCCACATCCCTCCCTTGTAACCCAAACACCCCGAGCATGTAAATGGTAGTCGTTTCACTGTCGGTAAGACTGAAACAGGACTATAAGCTCAACACTAGCATGTATCAATGTATCAAAACCACGCAGTGTCTTAGGGTTTACTCACAAGGTAAAAATTACATTATGAAACAATACACTTAACTATATTATATAATTAATATACTACTATTTATATTTTAATTGTATAATATTAATATGCTGAGGTTACGTCAAGTACATCGCGAAAATATTATTCCTCCACTACAGTGCATCTCGTAATGTTATTCCAATAAGCACCAATATACCTGGAGACTATTACAACCAGTAACCACGTGAGGCCTGTCAATCATTAGCCAGAGAAATACCTTTTACCTTTTAAACCGATATATGACACTTTTCCATTAATAGTCGAGACATGATAACATCACCCAACGAGACACTAATAACAGGAGATTAAATGGTATCACCCACGAAAGTCGGTAATCATATATACAGTACATTTTCGTAGATGCATACCTGGGTTCGTATCTCAATTACAAATCATCCCTGACGTCACAGTGTACCTCAGGGCATCAGGACCTCAATAAGTTCCTTCTAAGAATAACACATGCCTTCGTATCTGAATTGCACATCCCTGACGTCACGGTGTACCCCCAGGGCATTAAGGTTCTTAGGGGACCAGGTACCGCCAACCAGGATGCACAATATCTGCCAAATGTCGCTATGCAATATTACAGCGGCTGTTTAAATATTATTCTTTTTTAATTTTTCCACATTAAAAACAATTATTGTGTGGTCAAAAAATGTCCTTAAGCAATATGCATTTTCGCATTTACGGGGGCACAGCCACGTCCGTGCACTTGCACCATAAGTATTTTCTCTTGAAACACGCACCTTCTGAACTAGCTTTCATCATCCTTTCTTACTACTGGCACATGGCCTTCCAACAAGATAGTCGTTTATCTTAATTGATACAAAATTAATAACAAAAAGAGTTGCATTACTCTTCAATTACCTTCAGAAACAGTTGGAGACTTGTGTACATCACCATTTTTTTCAGTTTTATTATTAGTCACCTAATCACTCCACCAACTATGACTTCTGACAGTAAGTACGTCAACTGTGTCACTACCTGGAGTCTGGCAACTGTACCAAAATTACTCTTGAAGTTGCAGTTACTAAGGCCTGGGCACCACCCGGTCTCTCTTCACCGGCTGTACTCGTGTACTACTGCGTTTGTTCTGTATTACACCAGTATTAATGCACAACTGCCTTTTGTCTTTATTGGCATCAATTAATGCAAACAGTATTATCATCAACAAGAACACAAATTTCGAACTTCATTATAAATCACTATTATCAAAAAATTTAATAAAACCCGGTATCTTATGGCACTTGGCTTATATTTGACGATTTCAAAACAACTTCTGAATTATATTTCGGGCACTGACCACGAAAGGCCAAGCAATGAATGCTTCCACTACTCGACGGTGGGTAACTGCAGTGGCTCAGCTCGGTCCCAGACACTGCCGCCTTGGGTAGCTGCAGCGACAGGGCACCAGTTACCAAGGCATATTTTATTTACATTAATATTCCAGATTACCGATGTTAAAAAAAATATATAAATAACTTTACGTATAAAAGAGGACTGTTTGTTAAACCATGCAAATATTGTCACCTAACGTGTCTGAGCTATGTTTTTTATATAAATTACTACGATTTAGTGGTTAGACTCCACTCAAACCCTGACGTCATATTCCAGAGAACACTGCGGACTACACGTTCTAGCAACTGTGGCGGACATTACCAATACTGACCCATCCATCACATAACAAGGTCACCCAGAAGGTTGTCCTAATTACTAAATATTTCAAATAAACACCAAATACGAAGAAATATCAAGTATCATCGTGTATATACAAAAAAGTTTCGAAACGTCAAAACGGATGATAGTAATACGCTGATGGGAAATTTCTGAAAATAAATATCTAACAGGACAGACTAGAACACTATTACACTATGTCCGGGCAGCACATGGTGCAATGAGAGAAGGACTTTACCTCAACCGGAGACATCAGTGGAAGCACTTGTATGCAGCATTGATGTTATCCCAGCGTTGAGAACACCTGATGGGGTGTGTGTGTGTGTGTGTTTATACATTGTCAAGTAAGGATCACTTTTCGTCGTCCGTACCCGAACGATTGTGTTGAGAGCATTTAAACGTCAAGCACCATTAAAGGTCAGTCGTGGCCAGACACCAACACTAACTTCAAAGAGAACTTGACTCACACACAGAAACTCCTAGTGTAGACGAACAACCCTTGGGACCATTCCATAGTTGGCACAAGTAAACTGACGAGTGACATAATATATTAATCATGCGGTCAGCTTGTCATATATTGACGCAAAAAATAGACTTTATCGTTTCAGCTGTTGGCTGCAAACTGACAAAAGGAGCAGGTGCGTATATTTCAGTACTTAGAAGGAGACGGAGTGAGCTGGAACACTGTCGTGTTGTACTGGTGTTGTCTCATCACAGGAATGTGTTCCCAATGTGCTCAGACTTAATATGACCAACGTCATGACCTAGCAAATACCTGGGACATTTTGACCATCACGGCCCACGTTTGCCACCTTCATAAGCGAGATTATTTTGTAAGTGGAATTATTCAACAATTACATGGTAAATTTTCATTTCGGTATCTCTCGTACACAAAGTATTTTATATATATATATATATATATATATTTATTTATTTCATCTATCTAACTATCTATCTATTTCTCACACACTAAAAACGTGTAATGGTTGAATGGGACGATGAGAGGAGTAACAACGGCAACTTCTCGTGTACAGGGTTCCGTCCTAATGGTATTTGATGGAACCTATATAAACTGGAGCCCTACACTTAACCTGTAACAGTGATTATGCGGTTCAGTTCTGGTGCCCTTATTATAGAATGGATATCAATTCACTAGAATCGGTGCAGCGAAGAATGACGAAAATGATTCCGGGACTTAGAAACCTTCCATATCAGGATAGGTTAAAGAAACTTAACTTGCATTCCCTAGAAAGACGAAGAGTGCGGGGAGATATAATAGAAGTATTTAAGTGGGTGAAAGTAATCAATAAAGGGGATATAGATAAAGTTCTTATAATATCCGAGCAGGATAGAACTCGGAGCAACGGATTTAAGTTGGATAAGTTTAGGTTTAGGAGGGAGATAGGAAGGAACTGGTTCACAAATAGGGTGGTGGACGAGTAGAGCAAGCTTAGCAACTTTGTAGTAAGTGCTGGAACGCTGGAGAGTTTCAAAAGGAAGCTGGATAGATTCATGGATGATAAGAGAGTGGTAGTAACTCTCGACAGGAGCTGCCGTGCACAGGCCAACTGACCTATTGCAGACTCCTTATTTTCTTATGTTCTATATAAACTAAGGGTCGGGGGAGTCTGGGTCAACACTCGGATAAGCTCGGGATATTCTCTCTGCTAAAACTCACTCCTTCACTTTTTACACAAGCTTTTCTCTCTCCTGTGCCAACTAATATCGACCTGGAAAGGCTGAAGGCAAAACGATGATGAAATTTTGCAGGATGACGCACAGCAGAAAATGCCATCATGACGACAGGGATGGCGGACATGATGTCATTAATGTGGGTACGTGAAGCCCAAAGTGAAACAAGATGAAATGGCAGGACTTACGGCATGAGGTGGAACTTAGCAAGACATAAGAACATAAGAATGGAGGAAACTGCAGCGGGCCTATTGGCCCATACTGGGCAGTCCCGTTTACACCCATCCCCTGTTGCTCATAGAAGCATCCAACCTATGTTTGAAGCTATTCAGCCAAGTGGGTACCCAGGGCTCAGTACATGTACCATTACTATTTATGTATACATAAACAACATAGATATCAGCGTAGACAGCAACATAAAGTAAATTTGTTGATGACACTAAAATAAGGCGTGTATTAAATCTGACGAGGACTCCGAAAACTACAGGAACGTTATGATCTAAACAAATTTTCGAATGGTCTGAAAATGGCAGATGAAATTCAATAAGAACATAAGAATGTAGGGAAACTGCAGCGGGCCTATTGGCCCATATTAGGACAGTCCTGTTTACACCCAACCCCTATTGCTCATATAAGCATCAACCTATGTTTGAAGCTATTCAGCGTATTCGAGTTAATGATGATATTTGGTAACATGTTCT